CTTTAGTCAGGATAAGGTAATCATCTTCATTGCGTGAGTCACACGGTTAGAAGAACGGAAGTGTAAGATTTATAGATAATACTGTTATAGATACTCTTCTCAGGGGCCTGGTTTGATAAAGGGGACGTACATCTGTAACCTTGGCATTGAAGAGCCGCTTTTTAAAATAAATATTAACACAACTTATCAGACAGGCACCGACACATGGTTTACTGATATGACTGAGGTATAAGAACACAGCGGAAACGTTACTCATGATTAATCTCATTGTTTTTAACTCCTGCATCAACATGAACAAAGTGATATAAACTGTCATTTTCCTCTGCTGAACTTAGATTAAATTCATGTTAACGTATAAGTCCTATTTGAGAGTTATCAGACTTTTATATGTAAATACAATACATCAATAATTCTGTAAGCTGTTTAGTTTAAATAAATTTGAATAAAATATTGACACATAATAACACAGGAGGCGCTCTTCAGAGGGCAGCAGCGTTTCCCACGCCTTCTGACTTTTGCAACAGTGCTGCAGCTCTTGTAGCCACTAGGGGCACTAGACAGGAAACTTACAAGTCTAGCCCCCCTGGTGGCCAAAACTTACATGGTGTGCCTGTAAGTTAATAGGACAGTTACAATATATTTAGGCCAACATGCTTAAGTAGTTCCTTTAAAGTTTGATTTCTCAAAACAAAAGCACCTTCAAGGGGAAAAGCATCAGGAATCTGAATGCATCTATATGATTCACTTTTTTTCGATTATTTTGGATGAAAATAATAGTAAATGATGCATAATTTCTATTCATCTTCAGAGTCAGTTGCTCCTTTATGTTGGAAAATCACATGTAATCCCATTAAAATACACGTGGCATCGTCAAAATATATAAATTCAGAGACAGATAGAACCATATAAAAGGCTAGATTTTTTTATTCTCATAAGACAAACATGGTTACTAAATAGAATATGCAGTGAAATACATGCTCAGAGTTACTTTCCCAAATGAATTTAAAGTTTACGGGCAAAAATAATCAGCTTTATCTTATGTATTTTATTCTCTCATCATGTTAAACCAAAACTAAAACATGGAGAAAGATGTTTATCCAGGTAGATAAATAAGCCCTCCATGATGCATCTCTATGACATGCTTTCTCTTAAAGATATATGATGAAGCACAAAGTAATTTATAGACCCTGGTCCTTTGAGGGGTTAAATCTGTGAGATGTTTTTTGTTTTGTTTTTTCAGGGAAGGTCTCTAAAGCTGCTTTCAGTGAAATTGAAAAAATAAAGTAGCTTTCTCATGGGACTGAGGCTTATTAAAAGCTACCAATAATCTGAACCAGGCCTCCAGCCACAGTACAATCAGCCCTCTAATCCAGCTCATAGCCAGTTTACTGTAATCAGACTATAATACAACACTTGTTTGTTGGCTCAGGAGTTTAACCCGTATGAGAAACCCAAATATTTGACAGTATTTTTTGTAGCTAAATACTTTGCTACTTAAATGTTTTTGTTTGATATTTGATATAAATTCATACAGAGGACGGGTGAATTTTGATTTAGAACAACACATTGCTATAGAGCAGGGTTAACCAATTAAAAATCAGAGGGGTCCAGATAAAGATAATCATCAACCAGTAAAGGTCAGGAGACATTTTTAATTATAATCTATTGCTTTAAACAGAATTTAAGATAAAATGAGTTTTTTTATGCATCCATGTTATACTTTGAATTTTTAAATAAAAAAAAATATATGAAAAATATTTTTCCATTTTAAAATCTAAAGTGTTTTTGGAAGAAGAAAACAGCAATCAGTCAGTTTGGTATATAGACAATTTCCTGATTCACAGATTTCTTTCAAACAAGTGTTTGTTTTTTTAATGGCTTAATGAGAGAAGAGAGCTTTAAGCTGACCTGCAAGGTTTTTAACAGTGTAGAGTGGATGTAGTTTCGACCAATCAGAGGCCTCCTGTCTGCAGGCACCGAAAATTTTGGAGAGGTGCAGCAGAGTGTCTGCGGAAAGGGCGGGGCATATCTGCATTCACTGCAACACACGCAGACGACCTGGTTTCTGAGTATAAATCAGCCTTAATGCTCATGCAGGACCCTTAAGTTTTCTGAATGCAGTTCAGACAGGAAATCACATGCAAGTCATATATATATTTGGAAATATAAATGACCACGCAAAACTATCAGATTTCACAAAAACAATCAGGAATTGACCATTAAGGCCTGCAGTGTGAATGTAGTCTAAGAGCAGTAATTGTACTGAAAATGTAAAAATATATACAAACATATAAACTATATACAGGGCTTGATGTTAACCATCGCCCGATCACCCGGGGCAAATAGTTTTTATTGTTGGGAGAGTACAAATTTCGCAAAAAAATATATTTATCACTTTATAATTACTTTAAAATTGCCGACATTCGCTGAAAACGACCCAGACGCGTTGCCAGCGCCATTTTTGTTGTTTTGTACACATTATTGCGTGATTTGAAAAAGCCGCATGATTTTCCGCGTGATTTTTGTCCGGCGCGAATCAGACACATTTTTTTCGACTTGGAAGGATAAAAAACAACAACAAGGCTATTTTACCCTCCACCCATTTCACCCACCAACCAGAAATGATGTCAGACTGTGGAAACCCTGTATAAAATAACTATGTATAATGATTCTCTAGAAAAGTCACATTATATTAATAGTATTATCTTGTATAAACATACTGTGACTCTAAAATAAAAGTTTTTCATTTGTGACATTGACTTCTGTCTTGTGATTTATCTTAAGTTTTAACCTCTCATGTTTTTTTTTAGATTTTTAACATTACAATTTATATTTTTCCAAGCACACAAGAGTTTAAAGCAAAGTTTAGTTTGAAAAGAATGGATT